ATAATTTTTTTTTGTAACTTATGGTATATTTTTGCTCATTTTGCAACTGTTTTGTACGATTTACAGTATGGTTGAAAACTTCTTTTTTTTTTGGAAACGGCCGAAAATTCATGCGCGCGCGGATGTCATCCATATAATCAAATCAACATGGCCTTATTTCGATTCAGTTGTTCATTGATGTGTCCCGATGTGTGAAATCTTGTAGACCCTGGTGCGTGAAGACAAGAGCCTCGGTGCTGTGACGTTTGACTGGCGTCAACAGACAGCAGAAGAGTACTTCCAGACCAAGGAAGACACAAAGTTTCACCTGGTCCATGCCATACAAGTTCTGTATAACGTGGAAGACCACCACGCCACCTTGCGGAACATGTGGGAACAGGTGGAAAGCGGTGGATACATGTTGGTCGCCATGGAGTCAGGTAAACTGGCAGTTTACATATTAGGCCATGTTGATTTGATTATATGGATGACATCCTCTGGGAACCCCGAAACTGATGCGAGCGTGCGAATAAAAAAAGTTTGGCCAAAAAAAGTTGCTTTCATTATGAAATCTACGTGGTTTTGAAGGTTGAACAAATGACGAGTATGGTATGACGAATAATCTAGTCTTCAAATTAATTTCTTTACATTTTCGTCTTTTTCGTTTGATTTTGGCATTCTACGACATTGGTATCGTTTTCCAATGTTTTTTATTGCGGTTTATATTTTTAAACTGTTTTGTACGATTTACAGTATGGTTGAAAACTTTTTAAACGGCCGAAAATTCATGCGCGCGCGGATGTCATCCATATAATCAAATCAACATGGCCTTGGTAATACATGTATAACACTTCCTGGCATTGATTTTCTTAATAGTAAAACAATGTTCCCTACTTACATGTACTTTTACTTTCACTGTCCCGTGTTCATTAGCCTGACTAATCCGCGCTCCTGTCGCCACCCAAAAGTAACTCCAGCCAGCGAGAGGTTGTGTTAGGCCGCACCGACCTCATTTTATGGATGACATCCTCGGAAGACCCCCAAACTTGTACGTGCGGGCGATTAAAAAAAATTCGGCCAAAAAAAATGCTACTAAACCACAGGAATACTAAGCTGGTATTGTGAATTTGCGGCAGTACATAGCGACGTATACTACAAGCCGGCAAATACTGGCTTTTTGCGGAATTTATGAATCGGCACTGCACGTATGTACTGAGTTCGTGAGTCGTGGAGCTTCGGTAGCCTGGGTGCCCGGCTCCGTTTTGTCGCTAACTATCATGGACTACCCAGGCCTAGAGCCAGGTCTGAGCCTCGGAGGACGTGATCTTTTTTTTTTTTTTTTTTGAGGTGGATGCCATCCATAAAATTAAGTCGGTGTGGCCTTAACCACATGCACATACACAGGCTAACCTTGTCACATGTTCACAGATCACAGTGACCTGGGAAAGTTGCATTACAAGTTGTGGGATGAGTTCGGCCAGGGTGACCGTTTGAAGACGTCGCTCCGTTCATCCGGTGACGTCAAACAGTGGCTTGACGCAAGGGGCATCAGTTACGTCACTTGGGAGAACATTAACGTCAACTTTAACGTCACGGAATGTTTTAAGGAGGACTCGGAGGCCGGGAAGATGCTTCTCGACTTCTTGACGCTAACACCTTACGTGTCAAGTGATACTAAAATAAAATCAATGGTATTGGATTTTATTCGATGTAATTCCTCGCTAGCTGATGGCAAGGTCATCTTTAAAGCAAGCTCTGACGTTGTTGTCGCCTTCAGAAGGAAGTAATCCTGACGTTGCAATTTTACTAGTATACAGCGCAATTTTACGGAATACAGTGCAATTTTACGGAATACAGTGCAATTTTACTAATGACGTTGAATCACGTGACTTGGACCCGGCTTTCCCTGTTTTTTTTTTTAATTTTTAAGATGGCGGACGCCGCTGACTCACATATTTCTGTCTTTTTCGAGCGAATTCGAAATGATCCCTGTGTAGTAACATGCCCTGTGTGTAGTTTGTAGTGATTTGACTAAAGGTCTATCTACGAGAACGGTCAAAATTCACTCAAAAACACAGAAAGATGTAAGTACGCGCCGTCAGCGGCGTCCCTGGAAAGCCGGGCCCAGGTTACGTCATAACAACGTCATTAGTAAAATTGCACTGTATTCCGTGAAATTGCACTGTATTCCGTGAAATTGCACTGTATACTAATACGATTGCACTGTATTCCGTAAAATTGCAGTGTATACTCTGGCACCCCTGTAGTGTACCGCTACATGTGTGCACATTGTAATTTGCAGTGCTGATATTTTACACATGTTAGGTTGCGTTGCTAGTAATTGCACTTGCAACTTTTGTATAATATTACTAGTATGTGATTACAGTCATGTAGTCATGGCATTGACTGTCGTCGTGTAGTCATAGGAACCCTGTATTCTAGCTGCGAACACGAAAAACCGTCTGACCACAATACTCCTAGAGGAGGAATATACCTCCTTCACGGAGTAATAAGCAACTAAGTTAAAGGGAATGCTTTTTGTGAAATGTTCGAATCCCACTCGGTTATAGTTGGTGAAAGACTGCAAATTAGATTTAGGTCGCTAGGTAGCGCTTCGCAACGGTGCACAGTGCTAAGAACACCCGCAAAGCTTATCTCAAGTTTGGGGTCATCAAGATGATTGTCACGTTCATCCATACTTATTAGATTCTTTTGCTCGCTAAATCCAACCTACCATAATGTGTCAGAAATTCAGTCCTGTCATGTGCGATCGCTGTTGTTATGTTTTTTTTTATACATAATATACATGCAAATTACTTGAAGATATGTGCAAATAATTGGTAGACAAATCAGCCAACCGTCGTCCGCTTTTTGCTTTTCGCTGGCCCTGACGTCATGGCGATCGCTTTGATACATTCGGTTATTATATTTGTAAATATTGCTCCTCAAATGCAGTGGAAGACGAAATTCATTTTATCTCTAACTGTCCATTTTATGACGACATCAGAAAACAATTATTTAGCACCGTGTCCAATATGCTCCCTTACTTCCACACCATTCCCTGCCACGAAAAACAAACAACAATTTTACTACTGAAGTCAAAGAACCCACATATTATAGAAGAAGTGGGTAAATTCGTCTTCCATTGCCTAAAAGAAGAAGTCATACCCAGTAAAACTAGTACCATATATGTTGTAGAATGTAGTATAATGCTAGACGTAGATATAGTCCCACATACCACTGTATTTTCTGTCTTATGTTGTTTGTAACTGCAGTTAGCCCTCGGGCAAGTATTTGCAATAAACTTTCAATATGAAAACAGATTCCAGTCGTAGTCATTGTACTCGTGAGTATTGCCATTCTTTCCAACTAACCTGTCAGTCCGTAATGTCACTGATCAGTGTCTCCAAAACATCTCGTCACTGTCAAGCAGATGTTCCCTTTGTTTTTGTAGGGCTTCCTGCTTGTTTGTGTGTGCGTGTGTGTGTGTGCGTGCGTGTGTGTATGTGTGTGCGTGTCCGCGCGCTCACTTGTGTGAGTGTGTGTGTGTGTGCCGTGTGTGTGTTTGTCTATGTGTGGGTGTTGGTGCGTGAGTGTGTGTGTGTGTGTGTGTGTGTGTGTGTGTGTGTGCGTGCGTGCGTGCGTGCGTGCGTGCGGGTGTGTATGTGTGTGCGTGTCCGCGCGCTTACTTGTGTGAGTGTGTCTGCGCGTGTGTGTTTGTCTGTGTGTGTGTGTGTGCGTGCGTGCGTACGTGCGCATTGGGTGGGGGGGGGTTCTGCGTGTACGCGTGCTTGTGTGTTAACTTTTATTTTTTATTTGACAACACGCATCTGCTTGGTGATTGATTATGTCATCTCACCTTTACCCTCCCTAACACCGGTCGTTACTTAGAACACGTTTGACGTCATTAAGTAGATCCCACCGGACTCCATTAGCTTATCCCCCCAGGGCGAAATGGAACAACCCTCTCTCACACCACACATTCCTTTCATTCAAGACTTTCCTCGATCACCAAGACATTTTCCTTTTCTTCTGTACATCTTAAAGTCCTCTAGTCTAAAACATATCAAGTGTGCGGTTGTTCCTCGAGTCTTACCGCATTCATGTCTTGAAACGTCTTGACGTATTGAAGCCTGCAATAGGGAATGAGTGAGGTAAAACACCCCTTGAAATGACACGGCATGGTAGGGTCCACTCACTCATGCCTTGGAGCCGTACCGTGTCAGATACCTGTCTATCCGCCTTTTAAAACTGCGTGGACGGTTGTTTATTTTAGAGCCAGGGCATACCTGTCCTAGTACACACTCTGTAAACACACAGATATCCTTCTCGGGAATAGAACCAGGGACGTTTGGTGAAAAACTCGCACACAAAGATGCATCGGAAGAGGTTCATACGGTTAGGCCTGGTCCAAATGGGCCTATCGCTGGTCGGGTTGTGTATAGGACTGGGTGCAGTGTCCCTCGGCGTGCACGAAATGTTGGGCAGTTTTTACCGGGTCTTCTTCGTCCTGACTGTGGCGTGCTTCATGTTGGTGAGTCAACCTTCTTCTTTTTTAAAGTCTAAACTTAATCTTTCTGTTTAGGTACTGAGAGATAGGCATAGTTTGGGTAAAATGCGGTGGATAATCATAATGTTGAGAAAACCTAGGTAGTCAAGGACGCACCCATAGTTTCTATCGCTAGTGCCATCTGGTCAGCCAACTCACCTACCTCAATGATTTACCTCATGTTTCACCAAATTCTACCATTTTCTTGGTATTCAAATGTGGAGTAGATCTAATTCATTTTCCCGTTGGAGAGTAGACCTGCTTTATTTGCCAGGTATACACACCTAACTATTGCAAAGGTGTCATACTGTACACTGGTGCTTTGTTTTGAACCGTGCCGGTTTTTAACGTGTCACCACAATTATGTGTAGGGACTATAGGGTGGGGTTTGAAATGACTTTAAGGGCTTTACGTATCGATAAAGGTAGCTTAAAAATGTTCACACTAGGGTGCCTCATGTGCACAGGTGTGTGTGTGAGGGTCTGTTTTTCGTGAGGACTCTAACTTGGAAGGAAAAGTAGTTCGGCCAGGTGAGCGGAGGTTTGGTAACAGTGATCCCGGGAGACCTGCGTGTTGGCCCCGTGAGGCCGTGTTCCTCTCCACGCTCTGGTAGACCTGGCTGGACAGAAGTGTTCACCCGAATCAAGACTTGTGAACAAACGTAAACAATAGAATTGGGCGACATGTAAACAATCACAAACAGCAACAGTACTACTAGCATGGCGTGTAAACAAAGCACAGGTCTAGCACGACATGTAAATAAACATAAACAACAACAGGACGTACACAGCGTGTAAAAAAACACAGCAACAGTACTAACACGACTTGTAAACAAACACAAACAACAATATCACTAGCACATGTGAACACATATAAACACAACAACAACCAAAGAACTAGCAAGGTGTGTAAATACACACAAACAACAGATGCAAACAAACATCAACCACAACAACAAAACTAACGCAACATGGAAACAAACATGTAAACAAATGTAAACAACATCAGAACAAGTACGCGATGTAAACAAACAAACAACAATATACTATTATATAGCATGGCATTTAAAGATAAGGCCACACCAAGTAAATTTTATGGATGACGTCCGCGCGCGCATTGATTTTGGCATGTTCCTAGAAAAAAAAACAAGAAGCCTGAGGCTATTGACAGGATCGTCCTGTCAACAGCAGGAAATACTGCACTGCTGACAGGATCGTCCTGTCAATAGCAGAAAATATTGCACTGCTGACAGGACGATCCTGTCAATAACAGGAAATACTGCACTGCTGACAGGATCGTCCTGTCAGCAGTGCAATTTTTGACACTGTTGACAGGATCGTCCTGTCAGCAGTGCCATTTTTGGCACTATTGACAGGATTTTTTAAATCTTCCATTTTGGGCTCTATTGACATGATTTCTTCTTTGTTTTCATTTTTTTAACCAGTCAGAAGGCATATGCTACTGTACTGCAGATTAGGCGTTTCACGATGGCGGCTATCATCACGTTAACAGAGTACTCCAGCAGATCTATATGTCAAAACTAGACATGTCCAAAATATAATAAATACAGGCGAATTTCATGCATAAGCTGTCTGAAATACGAAGGCAGTTACATAAGATGAAGACAATAAAAAAGACAAAAAGAAGTTGATCTCTATCCATTATTTATTCTTTCAACAACTTCGAAATCAAATGGAACAAATCCAGGAAAGTACCGCTGGTGTGGCATTTCAGCTAGCCGGCCCGCTAACAACAGCAGCCCCCTGGCGCGCGTATCCAGCTGGCCACCGAATTTTACCGGCCCCACTGGGCCCCACAGTACCGGCAAAGGCACGCTGCAGGGCCTGGCACGCTGGTTAGTGTTACTGGGGGGGGGGTTGTTGTGTTGCTGTTAGCACGCCTGACGGTTAACCCTGGGTGCCCCAGAGTCCGGCGTTTATTTGGCGATAGATTTCGGGAGAAACCGTATTTGTCCGCTACCATTATCCACCCAAACCCCTTCGTCCACGCGAAGCCCTCTAACGCCTCATGCGCGAGGAGATAATAAGACCCAGTGTGCCAAGTAGGTCTGCCGGGAGTATGGCTTCCCATGACTTTTACTTAGGTCAGGAGATAGACACTCGCGCGCGGGGTGGCACCCAGGCTAGCCAGACGGGTACCCACCGGTGGACCGCTGTGTCATTCCCGCGGCGCCGGCTGTAATGGCTAGCGCTTACTGTCGCCCCGACTAGCCTCTACCAGGCACCGTGGATCGCTGGAAAAATAATAGAAATTGGCCGAAATAAAGGGAATATATACCAAGGGAGTTAGCCGGCCAGAGAAGCTCCAATTGGCGACCTTGGTATATATTCCCTTTATTTCGGTCAATTTCTACTATTTTTCCAGCGATCCGCGGTGCCTGGTAGAGGCTAGTCGGGGCGACAGGCACGCATGCACTGCCGCCGCATTGTTTACGGGAGGCCAGGCGCGCGCTACCGAGCGGGGGATCAATGTATGCACGACGATCTGCAGGGGCCGCAGCGCAGGATCGTAAAAAATGGCCTAATAGCATACATAATAACACCTACATAAGACCTACACGAACCAGCGCCCACCCCAAAATTTCCAGTATGAAATAAAAATACCAAAATTTTACCGATCCTGTCAATAGTAGAATAATTTGCACTGCTGACAGGAAAAATCCTGTCAGCAGTGCAAATTATTCTACTATTGACAGGACGATCCTGTCAGCAGTGCAATATTTTCTGCTATTGACAGGACGATCCTGTCAGCAGTGCAGTATTTTCTGCTATTGACAGGACGATCCTGTCAGCAGTACAATATTTTCTGCTATTGACAGGACGATCCTGTCAGCAGTGCAATATTTTCTGTTATTGACAGGACGATCCTGTCAATAGCCACAGGCAAACAAGAAATTCCGCTTCCTGTAACTATGGCCAAAGAGTCATGACAGTGCCGCAAATCGTCAGATTGACGTGAAACCCGTAACGCGAAATGGGTAAAGAGCACATGTGCCGCAAAACGATGGTGTACGTGCGCACAAGAGTCCGCGCGCCACAGTTCAAAGAAGCAAGATGGTGGGCTCACCACCCTTGGTCGCTAAATATGTGAGCGTAAAGGTCGTAAAAGCGTGCGGAAACATTGTTGTTGACAGGTACGCGCTCAATGTCGGCCAGGGAGAGCTAACTTTCGCGTAACTGTACGAGGGACTTGTAGCGGCGAGTGAATATCGACCATACAATTTCAAGCAAGTTTTGTCAAGATCAGCTACAGTGCAAATTATATTCTTCTGCAATGACGAGAAGCTCGGAAGAGGCATTGAGGTTTACTCCGGCAGTTCGGGTGTTTCATCCGTATGGTGATCGACAAGACAGCTGCTACGACTGAAGCTGTTCCTATGGCTAAGATTGCTTTTGAGGTATGAAAAGTCTGTTTTGAATCGAGTACCTTGTACGGAAAAAAACACGGGTGAAATATTCCTAGAAGGGGAGTATAAAATAAATGCATACATGTATCAATGCTCCTTGCATGTGTTTTGCATGGATAATGATCGTTTATTTGTTTCTGGTTATTCATACTTGATGTTTGCAAAATATGTGTTTTTTTATTCTTAAATTTTTGGTCCACATTTGGCACGTAAATTGCTAATTTTCAGTCGGATTTTTAAGGTATTTTGGAATCTATAGCTATAAACAAACTACGCATTCAAGCTCAAAGCTCTTTTTTGGGGGGGGGGATATTTAGTTTCTTAAGAATTTTTTCCCCATCATTTTAGCTTTGATATCCAATTTAGTAACGTTGTCAGCTCTTCCATTTCTTTGATTGCATTAAGACACATTTATTGTGAACTAGGAACAGAAGGTTCACTTTTCCTTTCACATGACTTGTACATGTACACATGTATACAGGTATGATGAAAGCATCAAGAGAACAAGGTCAGCAGGCGAGCAGGAGTGGATGTTTCCAGCCTATGCTGGGACTGGGAGCACACAACAATGTAGCAATAACAACCCAGGTGAGTAGTGAGGTACATTTGATATGGATTGTTTGCAGAATATACCCTTTAAATTTAAGGCACTTCAGGGACAGTAAAGGCGTACATTTAACTACAACATAGAACCTAAACCTTTATGTTGAAAAAAAATTCTGAAGAGTTGGATTTTAGCACAATTGACTATTGTTCCATATTTTTTCCACCTGTTTCATGTAGGGCAGTGACATGCACTTCACCAGTAGCACAGTACTATTATTCAGCCAGACTGAAGTCAAGGGTGATAAAGACGATGCTGACTTTGGTGTGCTGGAACTGCGTTGAGGAGGAAACGCTGCCCATACCGGCAGAGAAGACTGCTGCATACCAGACAATAAACCCTGTTTGTCAGGTAGGCATACATTTGTTACCTAATTAAATTCATTACGCAACTTATGTAGAATAGCTCTGAACATATATTGTTTGGTTCCACCTTTATTGGTTATCTTTCTCAAACGCTCCTATAGACTATTTGCATAGGTAGAAATGCAGTAATGAATGCAAAGGGTTAATCAGCAACTAATTTTGTCTTTTATGCTTTGTTTCTGCAGGCCTGCAAAAATGTGATGAAAGAAACAGGACAGGATGACAACTGCTGTTCCACCTGATTTATTACTGTTTTGATGATGAATAAAAGACATCTTGCTTGTTACACTGTGTCACCTCATTCAATTTGTGTCCTAACATTTGTTGTCTCTTAGTATATTTCTAATCTAGGCATCTTGTTTTTTTGGGCCCTTCTTGTTTTTTTTCGCCCTCTCGCATTAGATTTGGAGTCTCCAAAGGACGTCATCCATAAAATTTACTTGGTGTGGCCTAAGTTTAAAAGATAAAGGCAGTTTATAGATAAGTTTTGTCATACTTTGTACCATGTACAACTGTTGTGCAATAAAGTTAAAGTTTAAATAAACACAAACAACAGAACTAGCCCTAAACGTAAACAACAACGTAAAGACGTAAAGAGCAACAAATCAAACAACAGTACTAGTGCGACAGTTAAGCAAATAGAAACAACAACAGAGTAAGAGCGTCATTTTTTAAAATCTTACCGTATACGTGTATGTATACTGTTAGAAGGGGGGTTGTTGTGAGCTCAATTTCTTGGCAATACCGGTAATGTTGGCTGAAAGGCCTTTATTTATCGCCCCTTCCTGTCCAAGCGTTAAGTACAGGTTGTTATGTTGAGATAACAGACTTGTAGTTACAAACATTAGTAGTATACACGGAGTAATAGTAGGACTACACACCAGGCTTACGTACGGGACGACCTCTGGTTGATTATTATGACAAATTGGAATGCTATGCAGGACGACCTTTCTTAATATACATTATTGGTCCAAAGGAATAGATATACAAATGTTCCGGTGCAGCTTATAACTTTTATTTAAAGTAAATTTCTGTCGTTATAGTTCATAAAAACGGTTGCGGTCATATCTTGTTTTGAATTAGCACACGTGGGGTCGTGTGGCGTAGCGGCAGAGTGCGCGACTCGGAACTTATAGTCACGGCGTTCGAGTCCTGACATGCCACCTATCTTGTACCCTTGGGAAAGGCACTTTACACGACTTTCCTCACTTCGCTCAGGTGTAAATGAGTATTGTCCTGTCATGTATTTGTCCCTGTGTTTGGTGGCGGCATTAATATAAGTTGAAAAAAACTTGAGTGTGTCGTCACCACGTCTGGTGATTACATGTTGGAATAAAAAAAAATTGGCAGCCACGTCAGCATTTTAGTTCTCTAATCATCCACCACAACAATGCCGGAGTCAGCTGGGAGTTTATCCCGTGGGAACACCAAGATTACCCATTGTCCTAACCTTATCATGTGTTGTTCTTATACAACAAGTTTTAACTGCAATTTCGAACAAAAGAAACGGGACAATTTTTGAGTATGCAACTTACTTCTTGTACACAAATATTAAAATGTGTATTTGAACCCTCAAAATTTAACTTAGTTTACATCTGATTTTCTTAATAGTGACAGGAGGCGAGGTAGTCTTGTTTATGACTAAGATTGTTGTCTTAACCCTCAACAGAACACCTTCCCGGACTGATTAATCTGTACACCTGGGGTCCGCGCGGACCCCAGAACAGTTTTTTGCTAATTTTTAGAAATTATCAACATGCTACCAGCTCAATTGTTTTGCAAACTGATGTGGGAACCTCTGTGTCCACGTTACATACAAAAATCATACATTTTGAACTTTTTCTATTTTTTGGTGAAGAAAAGAAGACAAGAAGAAATACCCGATTTTTAAACCCATTCCAGACTGAAGGGGCTTTTGAGGCCCAACTTTGATCTCAGATAGCGGCTAAACGGCTTGCGCTAGAAGTATCAAATTTGGAGACCTTTCCTAAAATGTCTCTGGAAAAGAGTTCATATTAGTTTAATACTAGTAAGTTGATGTTTTTTTGTGTTGCCATGGCAACGGGTTTCTAGCAGGCAGTTTTTTTTAAATAGAAGTAATTTTGGTTTAAACATAAAAATTTTCTGAGTTTTATATTAAATTACACTTCTTTTCCAACATTGATAACATCTTACATAATTAAATATAAGTTAAATCATTTAATATGCATAGAATATGCTAATTTGATGACGTCATTGGTCAAAATCCAATATGGCGGACTGTATTATTAGCTCTGACGTCATATGACGTCATAATTACACCAAAGTTATTAAAATTTCATTCTATTATTACACCATTCTCTGAAAACTTGGTAGACATACGATGAGTGCATAAAAACATATAAAAACGGAAATAAGGTAATGTATAAGAACGCCAGTGTATCCATTATGATCGAAAGCCGGCTGGGGTCCACGCGGACCCCAAAAGAAAATCAGATATAATTTTTTTATAAAAGGTAGAAACGGAGTTTTCTGCACTGTTTTGAGAGACAACTTTGTGGGTGACAATTACCTAAAATTTCAGAAAAAAACTTTAGAAACAAAAAAGATATTACAGAATATATAGTGCTGGGGTCCGCGCGGACCCCAGGTGTACTGTTTAGGGTTAAAATCTTAAGTTTCTAGGTTCGAATCTCTTGCAGACCCCAATGTTGTTAGCCTGACTGAACCTCGCTTTTCGCCGGCTCCCTAGTTAGTTCGCCACCCTATCTAGGGAGCCGGACAAAGAGCTTGAGTTTCACAGACTACAATGTTGTGTCCGCAGTGGGAAAGACACTTTTTACCTATATCCTCACTCGATCCAGGTGAAAATGAGTACCTAGCTTCGGTTAGGGACATGCTCTCGGATGGGACGTTAAGTCGGTGGTCCCCTGTTTAAGTTGAGCCACACCTGGATCACGTTAAAGATCCCACCACACATATCGAAAAGAGGGCCTTCCAGGTATGAGTGGTTCAAACCTCATGCAGTCTGATCTCCGGGTTGTCAATACTTTACAAAGTTGACATCAAGAAAGGCGATAGTCACCTGTAATGCCAATCCTTCGACACATGCATGCAGTATTTGGTAAATGTCGATAGATAAAGACCATGTGTTTGCGACATTGGTTTTCAAAACATTTACTAGTATAGTATTGTTAAACGGTTCGCCAAAGAGTCGTGTGGCGTAGCGGCAAAGTGCGCGACTCGGAACTAAGAGTCCCGGGTTCGAGTCCTGACATGCCACCGATCTTGTGCCCTTGGGAAAGGCACTTTACACGACTTTCCTCACTGAGCTCAGGTGTATTAAATGAGTATTGTCTTGTAATAAATGAGTATTGTCTTGTATTTGTCCCCTGTGTTGGTGGCGGCATTAATATAAGTTTAAAAAAAAATTGAGTGTGCCGTCACCACGTCTGGTGATTACATGTTGGAATAAAAAAAAGAGTAACCTTGTTCCAATGAAACAGGCATGAAATACAGAGAATGATTCAGATCATTGCGTTTACCTGGAGATTAGGGTCATTACACACGAGGCAACAACGTGACGCTTACACAATACAGGCGTGAGCTTTGCCAGGGGGCAAGCGAAATTATCCACTTTATCTGTGTCTGTGTCAGTATAGCCGGTATAACCGCCCTTCGGCCTAACACACCAGCTTCGCAGGCACGCGGCGTGCCGGCAGCTGGCTATATCACACAGAACGACTTGTTACACAATCTTTGCACATTTGATTTCAGGAGTTGTTTAAAGCTTTCTAGTGATTATGCCCCAACAGTGCTTGGTGGCGACGAGTTCCAGTCTACGATAGCTCTGGGGAAATACGAGTTTTTGAATACCTCAATTCTTGGTTGATAACTCTGATATTTGCAGGCATGACTGTTTCTTGTTCTTTTCTGGACTGGTATCAGATACTGAGTGATGGTTGGTACGTCCACCAGTTTATTAGTCATTTTGTACTTTACATTTCTATCCTTAACACCGCCTAGCTTTGATCAAAATCAGTAAATTTACTTTTATCCACGCACACAAACACGTAAAAAGAACTGCGGATTGTAATATAATCTTGTCCTAAAGTCCAATAAATGTTTTAGAAGGGCGTGACATTTTACTATATATAACTTGTCAGGAAGACGCATCGTTTGCTTTGAAATATAATATAGCTCCCGGCCAACGTTGTCTGTATGTAGGCCATATCGGTGATTGTTTTGTGTTGCTCCGTTAAAAGGATCATCTCGGTTATGAAAGTATTTCACCCTTAAGCTAACTCAAGCAATTAATGGATAGATGGATTTTTCTTATGGTTCTTAAGTTTCAAATGGTTTGTGGTGCAAAACCCTATATTGAGACTTTGATCTGTTAATGACAAAAATGACCTTCTTGGATAACGTATTTCCCCAAAATGAACAAATTTACCTAGTTGAAGTCGATCTGGTAGAGACTATACTTTTTCACTGACAGAATGGTAACCTACAATGCAGAGCTTTCTAGAAACTGACTAGCAAGTGGCAGTCGCCCAAAGTTCAGTCAGTGTTTTGAAGTGTGCCCAACAGACCGTGGCTTGTCTCCGCTCTGTATCACTACAGGCTGTCAGTCAGTCAGTAGTGTGGAATGCAGCTGGAGTTTCGCACTACAGCAGGCCGTGTCCGTGAGATGGTCTAGTGACAGGCATTACATGTACTGTTTCTGCAAGTCATGGTCTGTATGTACCCCAACCACCCCACCCTACAGATACAGCCGTGCGTGTCACACATTCAGAACCTTCTCCCGACTAACAACCAACCAAGCTTGGCTGACGTTCGGGAGCAGTCTGACCAGACCACTCGTACATTTCTATAAGATTTACATTTGAGTTAAATTTGAGTCAAATTTCACTCCCAACTACGCCCACTACGACCTCTGTTGACCTACCGCGAGCCAACACGAATATATAATTTTTTTTTTAATTTTGAAACATTTGAAACATAGCCAGCCTCCTCAACTTTGGTAAGGGGTATTGCAACACTGTTCAAGAGGCCATATTCACATATTTGTGACAGGGGCTTAAGAAACAAAAAAAAAATACCAATGACAAATTAAGTAAATAGATCTTTGTAAAGGGCTGAGACAGTAGAGCAGAAATTATAAATCTACATATCTTACAATCTACATATGGTATAATCTTACATACATATACATAGACAACATTAGCGAGAAAATCACACTGATAAATGAAAGAAATTTGGAGAAAGTTTCAGTACCATCGGAGGTATAAGACCTTTGACTTCTTGTTGTTGTTCTTACTCTAATATTTCCCGATATTGTGTGGTTATTCCCAGGGCCAGCTGCTGTACTGTACGGCGTTCCTGGCCAGTAATATGAACAAACAGACGGCAGAAGCCAGGCGGAGAGCGGTAAGTACAGGGTTCACCGGTCTTGAAGCAGATGTAGGGGGTTGAGATTTTCACTGACATTTTCTGGCTTTTGGACGGATGGCCTACAGAGCTATCCTGTACTGACCCATACATGTCACACATAACCAACTAACTCCAGACCATGGTTGGGAGTGAATAGTGAGCAAGGTCATCTATGGTTGGGAGTTGGTCGGCGAGGTTGCTACAAGTCTGTATCCACAGGAATAACAGAAATATTCTGGATAAGGAAATCTGTCTGATATTGACATAAGAACCAGCCTACGATACGAAACAGTCAACCGTTTTCCGTCAGTGACATCGCATTTTTACCTCACATATATATATCAGTATGCTATGGCATGGGGCTGATTCAACTTACTACATTAAAATGACTAGAAAAATTGACTTTGAAAATTGAGTTTTGAAATTGCATCGAATGCGACCCTATCCCTCTCTCTTTAGTGCCAGTTGTATCTAATGTTTCCCCGTGACACAGAGCTCGTGACACGGCTATACGGTCCAGCTAAGCCCGTACGCGTGTCGCCTCGGGCCGGTATGTCTGCCTACAATCTCTACACACGCTTCCACGGACATTCTAACCACCACTGGAGTCCTGGACTACCCGACTATGTTTTCTTTGGAAACGATGCTGTCCCATATATGTGCCCAGCCATTTTTTTAGATTTTTGTTATGTGTTTGTTTGCTTGCTTGCTCTTGTCTGTTTGTTTGTTTGTTTGTTTGTTTTTGTCACGTTTTTAGTTGGTTTGTCGGTAGGTTGGGTGATTGGTAGGTTGCTTTATTTTTAATTAATAAAAAGCGAGTAGGATTCGATAATTATGACCTTGCTAATCTAAAATTATCAATGATATAAAGTATGGTTCGAAAGACAACAAACACACAAACCTTACAAAATGCACCTCTTTATCAATGGAATTCCAAAGTACCAAAAACCGGACGAGTTTTTTTGCGCTTAGCAGCCACCGCCTCATGGAAATCCGGTATACACTAATCTCCAACAGATCCTACGGCTTCAAGGCAGTATCCAATAGCTAATGTTCACTCCTTGGCCAGTGGATACTGCATGGCAACCCTAGGATCTGCTTGGAGATTAGGCCATGTTGATTTGATCATATGGATGACATCCTCTGGGAACCCCAAAACTGATGCGCGCGTGCGAATAAAAAAAAAGTTTTGCAAAATAAAAAGTTGCTTTCACTATGAAATCTACGTGGTCAAGAAGGTGGAACAAATGGCACAGAATATGTTATGGCGAATAATCTACTCTTCGAATTCATTTATTTACATTTTTGTCCTTTTTCCTTTGATTTTGGCATTCTACGACATTGGTATCGTTTCTAAATGTTTTCCTTGCAACTTATGGTATATTTTTGCTCATTTAGCAACTGTTTTGCACGATTTACAGTACGGTTGAAAACTTTTTTTTTTTTGGAAACGGCCGAAAATTCATGCGCGCGCGGATGTCATCCATATAATCAAATCAACATGGCCTTAGTATCAACGAAGGTTTGCCAGTTCTCAGTCCACGTTAATCCTGTCTTCACGACTTCTCAGAAGAGAAGACTTGGTGATACATGTAGCTCTAGGCTGAAACACTCTCCTTAAATCATGCGGAAACAGATTAAATCAGCTTGGGTGGAGATTAAGCTAATTACAGAGCAACAACAAAAACGTGGAGGCCTACGTTTTATATTATGACTTGGAACTTTAACCTGCCCTTTATTAGTATCTGTGTGCGTGCGTGCGTGCGTGCGTGTGTGTGTGTGTGCGTGCGTGAGTGTGTGTGTGCGTGCGAGTGTGTGTGTGTGTGTGCGTGCGAGTGTGTGTGTGCGTGCGTGTGTGTGCGTGCGAGTGTGTGTGTGCGTGCGTGTGTGTGTGTGTGTGTGTGTGTGTGTGTGTGTGTGTGTGTGTGTGTGTGTGTGTGTGTGTGTGTGTGTGTGTGTGTGTGTGTGCGTGCGTGTGTGTGTGTGTGTGTGTGTGTGAGTGTGTGTGTGTGTGCGTGCGTGTGTGTGTGTGTGAGTGTGTGTGTGTGTGTGTGCGTGCGTGCGTGTGTCTCTCAGGGGCTTACTTTTTACGCAGAGAAATCTTAAGACTGCCAAAATCGTACATTTTCGGACTAGCAGACGGAAAGTCATTTCTTACGAACATCATTTTGAGATTGGGTAAGAGCAGTACCGCAGTATTCCTCTTTGTTACGGAGCCCCGCCCAATGTGGTAGGGTGGATTTAAATTAGGCCACTCGATTTTGAAATTCGCCTGCGACCTTGTGATCTGGCGATGTATCAAATTCGACCGAAGGTCACTTAAGTGCGATGGACGCTTAAGTGGTTTTACCGAAGGACACAACAAGTGAAGAGTAAAGGAAGTTTGGATAAGAACAAGTGATTTTTCCACACTTCAAGTGAAGCTAAAATGCCTACCAGGTTGGAAGAATGGACGATATTTTCACGCTCCAGTTCTTTCGACATACAACCGTGGTGACCACAGTCTTCATAATGGAACAAATTGTGTTAAGGCTACATTTATTACCTCCATGAAATGTGTCATGGAGGTTATATTTTCAGTTGCGTTTATCTGTCCGTCCGTCCGTCCGTCCGTCCGTCTGTCTGTTGGTCAACAAGATAACTCAAGAACGCCTGGATGGATTGGTTTCATACTTGGTGTGTTGGTAGGGTGTGACGAAAACTGGAAATGATGAGATTTTGGTCCCCCTAGTGGCTTCCCTTGGTACTGCAGCGCAACTTCCGGTTTTGATATCTCGCGATCTGGACATGCTAGGGTCATGAAATTTTGATGGAAGGTAGCTCTCGTGCTTGGAAAGAATTCATATGAGTTTGGGCCCCCTAGCAGCTTGTTCTGGAACTGCAGGGCACTTTCTGGCGAAATGTTTAAAAGCCAATAAGTCCAGACAGGAACAACATGTTTTCATTATTTTTGGTGTGTAGGTAGCTGGGAGAGAGATGTACATAATTAAATGTAAATTATGTAAATGAGGACTTTATTTGCATAATTAATGAGGAAATTCTATAATAACAGTGTTTTACATTATACTATGTAACCTATGGCAGACGGAACTTCTACAGATACTAATTATGCAAATGATGACCTAATTTGCATAATTAATGTGAAAATTCTATGATTTCGTAATGGTGAATGATGAGAATGTCATACTTGGGACATCTGTAAGTTAATCAAAAGTTAACATACATCACGATGCATATATCATGTCAATGCAGAGGTCATTTGAACAATTAAAGAAGAAATTTACATTTACATATCAAGATCATATTTCATGGAGGTATGAGATCTCGGAATTCTAGTTTTGTATGTAAGTGTATGCCAGTGTGTGTGTGTGTGTGTGTGTGTGTGTGTGTGTGTGTCTGTCTGTGTGTCTGTGTGTGTGTGTGTGTGTGTGTGTGTGTGTGTGTGTGTGTGTGTGTGTGTGTGTGTGTGTGTGTGTGTGTGTGTTTCCGCAGGTTATAATGGATATGGTTGGGTTCAGCTTGTTCCGGAGGAGAAAGTTATTAGGCATTACTACATCTGACCAGCATAAGCTTACTGCTTTCACATGTGTTATTTGTAACAAGATCTCCTTGACAGTTCCTGACTCTGCACAAAATAGAAGGAGAATTATCCTTTTATTCAAGAGAGATTTTAACCCCTCTTAAAATTGTGGATGCAATA